TAATATCGTAAAAACTCTTAGATAAAAATAGTAACGCTATTTGCTTACTACAGTATTAATGCACAAGTTCTTGCACGACATATATATAGATAAGCCGTAATAATTATTTTTAAAAAATTGTAAAATTACCATTATATGTTTTGATCATCGTACCTACACAGTCCGATTGTAAGTAGTATCTTTTAAAATAATATGTATGTTATTGCCCCCAAAATTTTATTTATAAATGTGATGAAACATTTAAATAAAAAATTATCTAGTTACTTGCTTAAACGTTCACAAGCAAAGTGCAAACATATACAGAATAATTAAAATAAATACAAAGACTACGTAGCACGAAAGGGGAAAAAAAGGAAGGAAGTGCTAGCGGAGAAAATAGCTTTATGCCTCGTATGAAAATTTCAAAGAATTTCCAGGACCACCTATATACAAGCCATCGGGTGTCTGTTTAAAAAAAAGGAGAGCACACGCAGAAGCAAACAAACAAATCGAGCTTCGAATTTCGAAATTTCCTGCGTCGCCAGTGCTACTACGTAAAGAGTTGCAGAGCCGCGGCTTTCGGCACTGCTACAAGCAGCATACATGCGGCCTAGGGATGTATGGTTTATTATTTTAGTGCTAACCCCCTTCCTTCAACGCGAGTCAAGTTGTGTTCTGCTCTGAGGATCTTTTTTTTCTCTCTCTCTCTCTTTTTTTCTTACAGTGCACCGTTAGTTGCTCTTATTATCCATCACTAATTTTTTAGTAGCTGCCATGTGTCTTACATGTAGTAAGGTTTTGAAGGCTTGTTAAACTGTTGGTGAAAGTAGATGAACCATGTTACTACTTTTCAATAGATTAGTCGAGAATTGCAAGATGTTTGGTACAATCTAGTAGTTTGACCAAAATAAAGTTCTGATAACCTGTATAAGGTTACAAAGAAATTTTTTGTGTGACTTGTACTGCAGTATTTATATATAGTTGTATCATTTGTTGACCGAATAAACGTTAATTAGGAGAGGCAGACGGACGCGTAGCCATATGCTGTTGTACGTTACGATATTAACACACATAACGATGATTTGATTTATGCAAATTTTCAAAAAAACTCCTCCAAATTATTAGACGTTTTTTAATATATTTTAGTCATTCTATAAATTTATATATTTTAGTCATTCTAAAAATTATCATTGTTATGAATGAAAATTATTGTTTCAACAGTTAAAATTATGCTTCAAAAAGTAAAAATTAGAGTGAGAACAGTTATAATTACTATGATGGAAAGTAAAATTTATTTACCAATCCTTTTAAAGGTAATTGTTCCAGCACAGTAATTTTTACTATTTTAACCATAATTTTCACTTTTCGAACCATAATTTCAACTGTTGAAACAATAACTTTTACTATAAAAAATAATAATTTTTTTCCTTTTTTACCAACTTTCATCCGATTTACTGTGCGGAATGGTAATTTTTGCTGGAATTTCTCTATAATTTTTATTATTTTTTTCTCTCAGTGTACATTGTACACGCGCATTAGAAATTAGTTTCCCAAAGGTGCGAGTTAAGTGAGTAAAAGGCCGTGTCTCGTAAGCATGTGTTAACAGAGCCCCTGATCTACAAGAACCGCAGCCAAAATCACTGTTCTACCGTGGCCTTAGTAGATATGTTTAGATGGTAGACTAAGCTAAAGCTGGTAGCGCTAGAGTGCTAGAATTGGTTGAAAAATTATTAAAGTATTATTTTAATAGGTATATGAATGTGTTAATGCGTTAAAATTACGGTCGGCTTTACTGTTGATCGTAATAATTTTTTAATTAGAAAAAACTCCTCAAAAAATTACATTTTTGTTTGGTTTTTTTATATATGCGGCTCATCTTAATAATCACTGAATCTCTATCGTTAATCAGTAAAAAAAAATTTAAAAAAAAAACAGAGTTTGTCAAGTGTTGTTAGTAATTCAGGTCGACAATGTCCGTCGGTCCAATGAAGCGAAGTTCTTCCGTCATCGAAGTCGTTGAGTGGCTCAGCTTGCACATCGTGGTGTGTATCGGTATTTCTAGGCCACGAAAATAATCGAGCTATTCGAGAGGCCTGGAAGCTGCTTCCTGAGAATTTCGATCAAATAATATTTTTGCCTGATTTATCCTTGTAAACAAATACTACAGCTAATTATTACGTTTTTAGTCTAACTTTCATTATCCTTTTCTCGGAGTTGAATAATTTTGTAATTAAACTTACAAACTAGTAAATACTAGTCAACAAAAAAAAGTCGAATTAAATGTTTTTATGGCCGTTTTAAAAAACTGTTGAACGAAAGAAAAAAAATTCATATTTTCAAATGCATGAGTTAGAATTTATGATTGGTACGAAAAAAGGCCTATAAAACCTTGAAAGGCCGAGATAGTAAAGAATCACGTGTTCTTTTACGACTTGGCTCGAGAAAAAGGAGAGCGCACTTCCAAAATCTGCTGACAGCATGTTTCTTCGTCTTCATTCTTCCCCTTGGAAAATCGATGTGAACGGTTTTTAAAGTTTGATAACGAGACAAACAGTTTGAAAAAATTATCAAACACCATAAACATATTAGGGAAATATTTGGAGATTGGATAGTAAATTATTCTCACATGTCTTATTTCTTTATGAAATTGCTGTTTAATAGAGACTGAAATCACTAACACTAAAAAAAAAAAAAAAAAAATAAATAACATCAGTGTTAAAGTGAAAAAAAATTTATTACAATTATTTTTATTACTACTATTTTTTTTAAACTAATTAAAATGACTCAAACAATGGCACTCTCTCCTGACAAGCTTCACGCAACTCTTTGATTATGTATAATTATTCAAGAGAACGCACTTATTCTAAATGATGTGAAATTTTTTACATTTTATCTCAAGCTTTTAAATAAGTGGTCAAAAAGAAACTTTTTATACTTTTTATTTCATGTCACTAGTCTTTGGTAAGCATCCCTTACAAGGCGTTTATTTTTTGGAATACGATAAATTCTTTAAAACATTAAAATTGCACGTTATTTAGTTGAAGTTATTTTAATGTCAAAAATTTAATGTTTTATGAATAACAATTCTACAAAATTACATAAAAAATACTTAAGACGAAACAAAAAACTTTGAAAAAAAAATTGTTTATTTGACGTGACGCAGAATTTTACTTTTAAACCCTACAATCATCGTATCAGTCGATTACTCGGGGTACATCGATTGTTTTTCCTATCCGTAAAACAATGATCCATAATATCGTAAAAACTCTTTGAGCATCGCAAAAAAAAAAAAAAATCATTACAACAAGAACCAATGCGATAAATCACGCAGAACATCGTGAATCATCGAAAACGATCGGTACAGATATCCGATCGACGAGTGATCGCGACGACGACGACTACATATCTTTCTCACGGAAATACAACGCACATCGGTAAGGCACATCCATCAACGGCACTAGAGGACGAAATTTCCAATCGGTACCACAACACGCTCCTTGGCGTCTCTGCGTCGCTTTTCACATGCACGTAATACAACAGCCGACGGCGCCTCAGCGCCACTAAATGGAGTACTTGATCTGATCGTAATACATGGACGGTGCCGTGGTCGAGTGCACGCTACCGCCCGCGACGCCGCTAGTGGGCCCGAGGCTGCTGATGCTTCCCAGGCTCAGCGAGCCCAGGGACCCCAGCGTACCCGCCGTGTGCCCGATGTACGGCTTTCTGTCGACGATCCCGCCACCCGAGCTGCTGACCGCGCTGCCGACGCCGTTCATGCTGCTGCCACTCGAGCACTGGAGCCTCATGCCTGAAAAAGATACGGATTTTAGCAATCTTGGATTTACAAAGTGATTTAGGATTTTTGTTGGAATGTTTGGGGGCTATTTGATGCTTTACGAAAGTAGATGATTTTCATCTGTGATTTATACTCAATTTTAGAGATATGAAATCAATTGCCCCGTATGTAAAAAGAGGACATACAAACTCGATTTGTTTACTATTGTTATAAATATTTATACAAAATGTTGACAGTCTAAAAATTAATTTGTTGAATAATTAAAATAAATACAAAGACTACGTAGCACGAAAGGGGAAAAAAAGGAAGGAAGTGCTAGCGGAGAAAATAGCTTTATGCCTCGTATGAAAATTTCAAAGAATTTCCAGGACCACCTATATACAAGCCATCGGGTGTCTGTTTAAAAAAAAGGAGAGCACACGCAGAAGCAAACAAACAAATCGAGCTTCGAATTTCGAAATTTCCTGCGTCGCCAGTGCTACTACGTAAAGAGTTGCAGAGCCGCGGCTTTCGGCACTGCTACAAGCAGCATACATGCGGCCTAGGGATGTATGGTTTATTATTTTAGTGCTAACCCCCTTCCTTCAACGCGAGTCAAGTTGTGTTCTGCTCTGAGGATCTTTTTTTTCTCTCTCTCTCTCTTTTTTTCTTACAGTGCACCGTTAGTTGCTCTTATTATCCATCACTAATTTTTTAGTAGCTGCCATGTGTCTTACATGTAGTAAGGTTTTGAAGGCTTGTTAAACTGTTGGTGAAAGTAGATGAACCATGTTACTACTTTTCAATAGATTAGTCGAGAATTGCAAGATGTTTGGTACAATCTAGTAGTTTGACCAAAATAAAGTTCTGATAACCTGTATAAGGTTACAAAGAAATTTTTTGTGTGACTTGTACTGCAGTATTTATATATAGTTGTATCATTTGTTGACCGAATAAACGTTAATTAGGAGAGGCAGACGGACGCGTAGCCATATGCTGTTGTACGTTACGATATTAACACACATAACGATGATTTGATTTATGCAAATTTTCAAAAAAACTCCTCCAAATTATTAGACGTTTTTTAATATATTTTAGTCATTCTATAAATTTATATATTTTAGTCATTCTAAAAATTATCATTGTTATGAATGAAAATTATTGTTTCAACAGTTAAAATTATGCTTCAAAAAGTAAAAATTAGAGTGAGAACAGTTATAATTACTATGATGGAAAGTAAAATTTATTTACCAATCCTTTTAAAGGTAATTGTTCCAGCACAGTAATTTTTACTATTTTAACCATAATTTTCACTTTTCGAACCATAATTTCAACTGTTGAAACAATAACTTTTACTATAAAAAATAATAATTTTTTTCCTTTTTTACCNTGGACAGCGGGGGTGCGATCAGATGCGAGTGGTGGTGCTGAAGGTGCTGCGTCGAGGACACCACCTCGCTCTCGTTGGTCATGTTGAGGCTGACGAGGGTTGGAGCGACGGTGTTCAATAGGAGGACGGTCGGAGCTGCATTTTTCGCGTCCGTCAAAACAAAGAGCACGCGCGCACGTGTCCGTCCACCGGTGGGTTGTTTGTTTGCGGTGATAATCAAACGGCGGAGGAGCGCAAACTCGTCATTCCGGGGCTTCGGTGGAGTGGCGCTGTCGAAATCTTCATTAGCTCGCGGAGGAGATGATTGTTTACTCGGGGGGTGAGTTGTTTGGCGGACGCGGTCCTCGGTACCTCGCGCTCGACTGGGTGCTCTCGTGCTGCTGGCGAGCGGAGGAGATATATTCGTTTCAAAATAATTGAATAAAAAAAATTAATGACAAATGAATCCATGCAATAAAATAAAAGATTGTATTTTGTACTGTATAATGTCGTGCAGTTTAAATTTATCTTTAAACAAATATTTTGCAGCAGCTAGTATGTTTCTTAAAGGATTTCAAACAAAATAGTGTAGGGAATTTTCAAAAATATTTTTACGTGTAAAAAGTTGCATCATGTTATTTGTTAAATCATAAATTTTTTTCTACTATGGATGTCCTATAAGTATGTGATATGGTAAACAAAAAATAAGAGTTTCTGTAAAATTATCAAAAATTTCTCTTTTTGTATTGCAAGAATACATTTGTTGAATTGAAGTAATTGTTTTCATTAAATATTTTAAGTAACGCTATTATTTACTAGATAAACATAATTAATTACAGATAAAAGTGGTAACCACGACTGTTAAAAATACCAAAAATCATTAGAATTTGAAGAATAGTTTGAGAAATGATTAACTTTAATTTCTTAGAAATTAATTTAAGAAATGAAAAATAAATAGTTTATAATATTTTTCTTATGCACTAGGAAAAAAGGTTTACGACCCCAAAATACAAAACTAAATGCCCCATTACCACATGTGTTCCCGTTAATTTTTTTTTTTTTATTACATCTCACGTCAGTCATATCCAGATGTTGTTTCTCCGTGTTCATTTCAAAACTGTAAGAAAATTCCCTAATAAGCGTTGAAAACCGAAAAAAATGTGAAAGGTTGCAGTGTATTCTACCCGTTTAAGCTTAAATGTCAACGCGTCTTTTGTTTTTTTATGGCGCCACTTGTACCACCCATGTGCTGTATCCCTTAACTTCTCATATTTTGTATTTTTGTGTCAGTAACCTGATTGTCTGCGTATGACTCTATGTTTCCTGAAGTGATTCTTTCAACTTCTATTGAATTTAAAATTAATACTCGTTCAAAAAATAATACTTTTGCTGCATTCACTGTAAGCTGTGCTAGTTTGTTTCCTTTTCATAAAATATTTTTAGCTAAACGTGCTACCCGAGTTATTATCGTAAGTATTTTGTTATTCATTGATCGATTAGAATCTTCTTTTATTCCATTCAATTTATTTTATTTAATTTTCTATGTATGAAAAATATATTTACTATTTTAAGTTAAACATATTGAGATTAGGCTGGCTCCCTACCACTACATAGCATACGATTTATATAAATTTATAAAGTTGTCTGATTCAATATAATAACAAAAAGATAGTGTAATATGGAAAAGAGGTACTTGATCAAATAAAAAAATTTTTATTTAATTTTAGAATCACACTCACAAAAAGAGGAATAGTTTTAGTTTTTTATCCGATTTTCATTTTTTAAAGCTTGTTTTATTTTTTTTCAACAATTTAACATATGATCACCATAGAAAATTTTTGGAAATATGTGATGTATAATAAATTCGATGCAATAGTATTTCATAAGAAAATATCAGCTTTTTGTGATTTCAAGAATCCTTGCAGTAAATAGTTGCATCTATGTCATTACGCACTAAATATTTTTGAAAATTTTTCATGGTGATATTTTATTAAACTGTCATAAGAGTACAACAAGCTTTTAAAAATTAAAATTGGATAAAAAATCAAAAAGATATTCCGCTCTTTTTTAAGTGCAATTGTAAAATTAACTACTATACACAAATGAAAAATAGTAAATTATATAAAAATGATTTGTTTTTATCGTATAAAATATCCATTTCTCGTACGATACTGTCTATTTATTATTGTATTATACTGGACAGATATATGAATAATTAAATATTTTGTACTATACAGGAGTAGGTAGTCTACAGACGTTTTTATAATAATTTTTGTGACGCACACTCACAATTTCAATTGTTGTAGCAATTCACTGCAATTAACTTTAACAATTTTCCCAAATAAGTTTTCTGATTAGTTTTAACTGATCATATCTTCATAGTATATCATTTATTAGGTAATAATAATAAAATAATGTTTTTGAAGGGATTATTACGTTCAACGCAACCGATGATCTTGTTTTTCATGAACATCATTACCTTTCGCTTCAAACAATCGAATAAATAAGTCCATTGGCCAAACTAAAATGGTACAACTAAGAGTACGTATTTCAAATGAACCACGGATCCATCGTTTTTTCTGTAACCCCCGCTAAATAAAATCTCGCAAGCTACATCATAAACCAGTTGTTGGGACAAAAATCCAAGAAGACACCAACTTGGAAAAAAAAAACTCACCCTGCTCTGCCCCGGGCGTGTGACAGCTCCCATGCGGCGAATTGACCGCGCTTGCGGCCGGACTCGGCGACATGGACTGTATCGCCTGTATGGCCGCGTTGACGTTGATCGACGCCGCCGGCTGCCCCCCATACGCCACGTAGTAATCCTGAACCTGACCGTTACCGCCGCACTTGTAGCCCCCAGCACCCTCGGCGACCAACTCCTGATTGTGCTGGCCGAGCGAGTGTTCCTTCAACCCTCCTTGAAACCCCTCGGCCACCTGATCCTTCACCTGGTGCCCGTAGCCCGGCTCGCTCTTGAAGCCCAGCTCACCGTTCCTGTACACGTCACTCGTCCCCGTTTTGTACGTCACCTCGGTCGTCTTGTACGTAACCTCGGCTATGGGCGCCGCTGGGGCCTTGTACGGCCCGCAGCTGTCCCCGTAAGCCGGTGGCCAATCCGCCGTCGCCGCCGCCCCGTAAACCGCGTACTCCGGGTACCCGTTCTGATACTGGTTCTGGTACCCGTTGGCGTACTCAACCCCCGCACCGGCGAAGCCGTTCTCGTACGGCCCGGGCACCTGAACGCCCAAGTGGTGGTGGAACTGCGGATGGTGGTGGTACGGTGGCTTGAGGGCCTGGCACTTGCGCCTAAAGCCCCGGGGTCGCCTGCGGAAGCTGCCCTCCTCGAACATGAACTCGCTCGCCGGGTCGATGGTCCAGTAGTGGCCCTTGCCGGGCCGGCCGAGGCCCTTGGGCAGCTTGATGAAGCACTCGTTCAGGCTGAGATTGTGCCGCACCGAGTTTTTCCAGCCCTGGTAGCTGCCACGGAAGAACGGGAAGTGCTGCTGCAGGTACGCGTAGATCTCCGACAGCGTGAGCCGCTTGCCGGGGCTCGACTGGATGGCCATTGCGATCAGAGCTATGTACGAGTAGGGTGGCTTCTCCTGCCTCCGGGCGCCGGGCTTGCGCTCCTGACCGGATCCCGAGTCCAGGCTGCTGTTTTGAACCTGGGTCGGACAGGATATGACACTGGAGGTGGTTGATGGTCTGCCGGTACTGGCCACGGCGCCAGTCATCGAGTAGTTGGACAGCGGGGGTGCGATCAGATGCGAGTGGTGGTGCTGAAGGTGCTGCGTCGAGGACACCACCTCGCTCTCGTTGGTCATGTTGAGGCTGACGAGGGTTGGAGCGACGGTGTTCAATAGGAGGACGGTCGGAGCTGCATTTTTCGCGTCCGTCAAAACAAAGAGCACGCGCGCACGTGTCCGTCCACCGGTGGGTTGTTTGTTTGCGGTGATAATCAAACGGCGGAGGAGCGCAAACTCGTCATTCCGGGGCTTCGGTGGAGTGGCGCTGTCGAAATCTTCATTAGCTCGCGGAGGAGATGATTGTTTACTCGGGGGGTGAGTTGTTTGGCGGACGCGGTCCTCGGTACCTCGCGCTCGACTGGGTGCTCTCGTGCTGCTGGCGAGCGGAGGAGATGGGTGAGCGCGCGCGGAGGCTGCACCGGTGACGCGCCATTGGCTCGTGGGTCGGTGTGGTTGAGAGAAGGCGGGGCGTCGGACGGTGGAGGCTGCGTGGTCGGGGTGCAGCGATTGGAGGAGTCGGCGTTTGGAGGCTTCGTTGAGAGATGGTGGCGAGCGAGCGCTTCGGGGGAGAGATGCTTGGGGAAGATCTTGTCATTGTTCCTAACGTGGTTGGGTTTTTTTTTTGTTTTGTTTTTTGTTTTTGTTGATTTTTGAGCGAGGGTTTTTTGGGATGGGGAAATTGTGGGATTAAATGTCTGATTCGTGACGAGTGAGCGGTGTTTTGTAGCGTGTATTGGGTCGAACCAAATTTACTGATTTTTAAGAATTAAGAGGTTGGATTCCTTGGTTGAATTTAACAACTTGATGGGCTTCTCGTGGTACAATTAACCTTATAAAAAAGTTTTATATAAATATGATCACACATTAAATACGAGTGTTGTTGTCAGAAAAGTGTGTATAAGCTTATATAGTTTGATTTACTTGCATAACATTTATAACAAAAACAAAAAAAATTAAGAATTAAAAAATGACTGGTGTCGTCAATATTGCTATTTGTCTTGACATCATCAATAATTTAAACTAATGCATCTTCCAAACCCTAAAGCTGGGCGCACTTTATTCTAAAACGATAATTTTGCTTATAGTTAACTTTTAGATTAGTTTTTTCTTTTCATGCGAATCTGTAATTAATTCATTGAGTTTGAAGTAAAGTATCTTTGTGTATAGTAAAAAAACCATAGTAAATCCAATAACATTTGCAATTTATCTTCTTAAATTTTGATCTATTATTTACTATGATGAAACTAGTGTATCATGATTTTTACAAAGATTCCTGTAATCGCCCAATATTAAGACAAACTTTAAGAGCACAGGATAATTTTGACAGCCTCCGAAGACACTTACGTTATATTTTGCAGATTCTCTCAAAAGTATAATTAGCATGATAAGCAAAAAGAAAATAATCGAAAACAAGTCAATAAATAACAAAGCTAAATAAATAGTAAGAAATTAAAGCAAGTTTCATAAGATCGCACATGTTGTACATCAATTTTCATGGCCGCACACAGATTTGCGGGTGCTGGGAAAGTTGTTCCCAAAGCATTAAAAATATGTGTGTGAAATGTAATTTATGGTTTTTCATAAATAAATGTGGTTTATTACAATCTGATATGTTCTTAGGAAAATTCAATCACTGTAGCGGTGATACAATCGTCAGTAGTACATGTATTATAGTATATTGAAATTACAAAATTAATAGATGAATTTTAGTTTGGATATAGAATTGATTAGTCAATGAAGATATCATCTTCTGTGAGAAAAAATTGGTGCTTACATCACGCATCTATCGATTGATACTCGACACGTAGTCACGTTCACTTGAAAATGAATGTCATTGATGGATGTTTAATTTCGGTTGATTATATCTGGTGTTCTTAAAAGTCAAACCATGACATGTTTTTTTTTTCTTTTAAGGAACATTGATTTTTACAAACAATATTTAAATCTAATAAATAAAAAACTTCAGTTTTCATTTCAATTATACTTTTACAACCTTGTTACTGGAAAACGATTTTTTTCAAAATTGTTTAAATTATCCAAGTAGGTTTATTGTTTATAAATGCATATTGTTTCAGATAGTTGAATTAAAAAATTTTTGTGAGAAGTAGTAACTTGAAATACATATTATTTTAATTCGTTGAAATAAACATTCTCCTGAAGAGTAGTAGAATTGAGTTAGTCATAACATGACTGATTCAATTAAATTTACCAAAACTTACTGACAAAATAAAAAATTCTACTGAATCGTAGTAAATGTGATTATTCGGTAAATATTATAGTTACAGTGCCAATATTACATTACATTATTTTTAATTAATAAATTATAATCATTGAAAAAGTAAATTTGATTGATAATGTAATTAAAATACCAAGAGGGTGTGCATAAAGGAGTGTATAATTTTTGTTCTAGCAAATTCTAATAACATTATGTACCGTAAAATCAGTCGTATGAAAAAACAAAATAATTATGAATCAGTGACTATAATTTTTCTGTTTGCTCTTGTTTAAAAAAAATTATTTTTATGCTACAAGGATAGGTGGCCTTATTATCGAGCACGTCCGTATAACAGAGGATCTGAGGCATACGTACAGATGCAATAATCATTAAAAAAATCATATAAAATTATCAATGCTTAAATTTCCATTTATTATCACATACTTCAAACGTGATAAAAATTAATAGTGAATCTCGAGACTCTTTAAACAGTACTGGCAGCTATTGACTAACAATTTTGCTGTTGATCATCGGCAAAAATTACTACATCATTTATCTATGCATGAATGTTGACATGTTATGAAGTAGAAATTCTTCTGTTAATCCACGTCAATCTTGAATAATTTTCATTAATATCAGCATTACAAAAAACAGAATGCCACTACAATCCCAATTAATGCCCATTACATAATCGAAAAAGTAACACATACACGAGACGCATCGTAGCTCAACCGTGCGGGAACCAAACTTTTATAGCTCTGCACGTCTTAGCTTTTTTGATAATAAAAATGAACGACGCATACATGATAGACCACCCGACGTGGCCCTACGATCTCCTTTAATAGCAGAGCACGTGTTCCTTACTCAGCATGCGAAAGGAAAACCGCAGATCGAAGACGTGGATCGGGCTTTCACATTTTCTTTCATCCTCTGTTTTTTCTTTCTTCTCTTCACGTACACCATCGTACATGAATGTTTAATTGCCGGCCCATTAACGACAAGCCCCAGATTTTCAGTCACACATGCATGATCCATAGGTCAACTGATATGGAGGACCTGCTGGATATTCGAGAAGGCGGTAAAACACGTACTTTTAGGGAGTTATTACAACTGGATGTGTTTCCACTCTTGATTTGGTTAGCTCAGAATGTGGAAAACACACGTGGTTCAGAAACACGTGAGGGATGCCTTTACCGAATCATAGCTACTTGTTGGAGTATTTTAATTTTTTAACCCACATTTTGGATACTATATATTATGGTTATTCGAGGAGTTGTGGTTTTTTCTATTTTTAATATTAATCACGGACGGAAAAACAAACGACGCGTATGAAATTGTGTTGCGACGGAGAGTATCGGTAGTCAGAAAAAACAAAACGAAGCTGCGAACGAACTCTGAAGCCATCAAACGTCAGAGGGTCTTTTCGCTTAGGGGCCCTAAAAAAGTGTATCCAAACATGTAGAAACATCAGTGGGGTGTAGTGCCACTGAATTGAAAACTCTGTGTAATACTAAAACAAAAAGAGTTGAGGGAAAGAAAAAAAAGGAGGACAGAGCTATCCTGACGGACGCACGTCAGTCGGTGTCTCTCGTTGCTACGGATCTTTGTACCTACTTCTGGACAGCATGTGAAGAAGCGGCTTGCGGCCCACCCAGGCCGCGCCGGCGTCATCAGACATGCCGACGCGACCCTGGCAAGCTCGAGCTTTCCAGCTCTGTTTACACGAGAGCCCCGTAATTTCATGCCGCCCCAGCGCTTGCACGCTCGGCTACGGAGATACTGTCCGCGAGGTAGGTACGCTTTGATGCGCTTTGCTTCGATCGTTTATATAGGCTGACAGAGTTGCCGATGGCCCCAAGTTGTTGCTACGCTGTTAATCCAAGTGCGTTGAAACAATACCATTCAAGCTTGCAGCTCGAATTGTTATCTTTTTTTAAACACATCATACTAGAGCTGGTAGTTTTTGAGAAATCGCTCAATCATCTCTGAACAATTAAAGAATGTTAAATATAAAAAAATTACTGCAGGAAGATCGTAGGGTGCCTTACCTTTTATTCACTGACAAGTACAATCTTGATGGGATTGACAAAAATACAGATAAATTAATTTATTAACAAAAGTGTTAAATGTGTGATCAGGGGTTTTAAATGTATTAAATGAAAAAAAAAAAAACCTTTAAACATTAAATTTAGTTGTTGATTCAAAGAATTTTCAATTAATAATTATGTTGATCTGTTGATTTGAACAACACTAATTTTAAAAATACTAATTTATATTAATTTAATTTTTAACTATAACATCTTTTAATAAAAAATTAATCTGAATTAAGAATTCAAACAACTTTTAAGCAGTAATTAAGTCTCGTTCCTTTTTAAACAATCTTTTCGTTAACAATTAAATTAAATTATTCTGTAAAACACGATTCAATTATAAGTGTTGACTTATTGGAAAATTACAATATTTATATGGATACGTATTTTGGCATGATAATATAATCAGTTATTGTTAATATTGCTAGTCGGAATTATTTTAGTTGAAAGTAAATGTAACTATTTTCTGTCTCTTTGAAACCTTAAAAATCAATTTAAAAAAAAATGACTCATTGATTTGATGTTAATTCAACACTCTCATCAGTTTTACTAGTTTTAGTTTAATTGTTTCGAAACATTAAATATAATAATTATTAGGTACAATTAACTCCATTGTCTAACAGTTTGGAATTTCATTGTATTAAAATGTATTTTTTTGCAGTCAGCAAACATAAATTTTTAGTATTCGTGGATTTATTCTGTTAATTTACATTGAAAAATAAAACGTTAAACAATTGAAAAGTTTAAAACAAGCAAGCTCGATAAAAATACATCATTACGAACACTCAAAAAGAATGCGTGGCTGCAGGAGGTCATCTCTTCCAATACCAGATTTTTGTGGGTAGCCTGGACCCAGCGACAGCTTGCGCGTCTGTTTAGTGTTGCTTCGCGCATGAAGAGCAACTTTGGAGGAAACGATCGACCGATTGTTCAAGGTGAATGGAAAAATTTAAAGTCACGCGCAAAGAGAAAAAGAAAAAAATTATCCGCGAGAAGGAAAAGCGCACACGCGTCGAAGACAAGACGCTAATTCAGAAGGGGAGGAGGAGGAGGAAGAGGTAGAAATCGTAAGGAAGCGAAAGAGGGAGAGTGCTGGTGATCTGAAAATAAGATCTGTTTATCTGGGAGTTGGAGCTATTTTGGAAACTACGCGAGACTCGCGATTGCAGCTAACAAATGCTCAGCTTTTTCCGCTCGAATCAAGATTCAACAATTTAAATTTTCTCCATTTTCTCGTAGTTAAGGATAGGGCCTCCAAATCAAAATGTATCAGATCGAGGACTTTTTTTACAAGCTGGTTGACTACTCTGGATTATTTGTATTACGTATTTTATAAATTTCAACTGATAAAATACTCTGGTTAAAAAAAAAAAAATAATAATAATAAAATAAATAAAGATATTTTTCAGAACTGCTTCATGTAAAACTTGGAATATATAAATTTGATTAATTACTGTTTAGAAGATATAAATTTGTTAAAAGGGTACGGACTAGACATGTTTGTTTACCACTGAAAAACTTCTGGCTCCTCCCTAAATCAACAGCAGCAGTGGCTCAAGAAGAGGCTTGGCTACCATCTCATAAGTGGCTTGTATACAAAAGTGTCGCGTAAACAGGTTACCATCCTAACTAGGTATACTTGCGTGCAAACGTTTGAAATTAATTGATGTGAGCACGAGATGTATCGTCTCTTGTAATGAGACGTTGCTTTCTGGTATTGGGACCTTCGAAGCCGTAGTCTATTTGTTATCTGATGTATACCCACAAAGACTCTCGAGTCACGAGCCTCTTTCTGGAATAAGTTTTCGTCGCCTACGTTAATACATGCAAGCTTAACGTGCGCATATGATTTTTCAATAATTGTTGTGATAGAAGATTTAATTTATCATTCTTTTAATCAAGCTTGCTAAAAAATAGAAAAATCTATCAATTCAACTTATTACAGAAAAATCCATACTTAATGACCACGGTTGCATGGTTGACTTTGAACTAAAGAAAATAAGTTTTAAAACTGCCGAGTTTGTTTTTCAAACTCGAGATTGTCAAAGTTTTGTGGTGCTAACTGTAAATTTTCTCACGGAAACTAAATATTCATAAAATTCTGAGCTTAAATAGTCAATGATTTTTATTAATAATCATTTTCAAAATCAAATCTTAATTATACAAAAAAAATTCAAAAAATTTGCACTTCAAGCATTTTTTAATTCTCAAGATACTCATTTGATTTTTTTTAACTTAGCACACCTGATATATGAGAAAATCAATGGTTTTATGGTTTTCAAAAAAATTATTTGTATTTGATTTAAGTTTTTCGTTTGTGCATGGGTTTTTGTTTATAGAAATAGTTTCGAAATAATTGTCATAATTATGATTTTACTTCTACTTCTGAATATAATCAAAAGAATAGCTTTCTCAATTTCAATGTGACAAAGTTAAATGAAATTATTAAGTTATTTTATAGCTGATTGCTGAACGAGCTAAAATTTAACATTAATTTTTTTCAGTAATGCTATAAAAGATTGTCCATCTTTTTTCATATTTTCTAACTTTTTATGTCTTAAACCAAATTGAGTACAATTAAGTATCCTTTGTATGACCACTGGAATACTATTAATAAATTAGTAAATCTGTTAACTTCTTTGAAAATTTTAAATTTGTTCAAAAACAATTCAGAACGAATTTTTGGTTTACAAAATAATTTCTACAGTTATATTGTGAGCTTATTAGTTTGTAAGATAAAATTAATTTATTGTAAATGGGAAGAGAAACATTTTTTCCTGCAAAACTGATTTTAAATTAACGAGAGAGCATCAGTAATACAAAACTTGAAAAAAATTATAAATTTACTTTTTTCAAACTCATTAATTCATAAGTTGACTGGTAGCTCACTGTTGTATCTGAGATGCCATTTTTTGCGCTCACTGTACCTGTGTTAATAATAACGACGATGCTTTGACTATTAACCACATTTGTTGCGTAAATTTCAATCGGAGACTTTTTCTCGATGCAGACTCACTTTTGTATGTATGATGATAAGAAAAAAAAAATTATTTTTGAATTTGTGAAATTATTTTTAAATTACTGATGATTCAATAATTATTACAATATTTATATGGATACGTATTTTGGCATGATAATATAATCAGTTATTGTTAATATTGCTAGTCGGAATTATTTTAGTTGAAAGTAAATGTAACTATTTTCTGTCTCTTTGAAACCTTAAAAATCAATTTAAAAAAAAATGACTCATTGATTTGATGTTAATTCAACACTCTCATCAGTTTTACTAGTTTTAGTTTAATTGTTTCGAAACATTAAATATAATAATTATTAGGTACAATTAACTCCATTGTCTAACAGTTTGGAATTTCATTGTATTAAAATGTATTTTTTTGCAGTCAGCAAACATAAATTTTTAGTATTCGTGGATTTATTCTGTTAATTTACATTGAAAAATAAAACGTTAAACAATTGAAAAGTTTAAAACAAGCAAGCTCGATAAAAATACATCATTACGAACACTCAAAAAGAATGCGTGGCTGCAGGAGGTCATCTCTTCCAATACCAGATTTTTGTGGGTAGCCTGGACCCAGCGACAGCTTGCGCGTCTGTTTAGTGTTGCTTCGCGCATGAAGAGCAACTTTGGAGGAAACGATCGACCGATTGTTCAAGGTGAATGGAAAAATTTAAAGTCACGCGCAAAGAGAAAAAGAAAAAAATTATCCGCGAGAAGGAAAAGCGCACACGCGTCGAAGACAAGACGCTAATTCAGAAGGGGAGGAGGAGGAGGAAGAGGTAGAAATCGTAAGGAAGCGAAAGAGGGAGAGTGCTGGTGATCTGAAAATAAGATCTGTTTATCTGGGAGTTGGAGCTATTTTGGAAACTACGCGAGACTCGCGATTGCAGCTAACAAATGCTCAGCTTTTTCCGCTCGAATCAAGATTCAACAATTTAAATTTTCTCCATTTTCTCGTAGTTAAGGATAGGGCCTCCAAATCAAAATGTATCAGATCGAGGACTTTTTTTACAAGCTGGTTGACTACTCTGGATTATTTGTATTACGTATTTTATAAATTTCAACTGATAAAATACTCTGGTTAAAAAAAAAAAAATAATAATAATAAAATAAATAAAGATATTTTTCAGAACTGCTTCATGTAAAACTTGGAATATATAAATTTGATTAATTACTGTTTAGAAGATATAAATTTGTTAAAAGGGTACGGACTAGACATGTTTGTTTACCACTGAAAAACTTCTGGCTCCTCCCTAAATCAACAGCAGCAGTGGCTCAAGAAGAGGCTTGGCTACCATCTCATAAGTGGCTTGTATACAAAAGTGTCGCGTAAANAAAAAAAAAAAAAAAAAAAAGGTACAGTAAGCGAGTTACGTAAAGCTCGCTGTACTTTTGGAAATGCTTACGTTGCGAAATTTTTTTTTTTTTTTTTTACTCGAAGAGCTTTTTTGCATAGTGCCATATACGGAAGAAATACTCGTCCCTGCGCAACAGCCTTGCCCTGGCATACGAGCGAATGTCTGCGTCCATGTTGTGTTCACGCAGCCAGGAGCTCGTGTTCTCTGTGCTGAAGCTGAGGGTAACTTCTCCATGGTCCGGCTCGTCCGTAAGTGGCTCTATAACTGTTAATTCTGTGAAAGAAATTTACGAAATTAATAATCTCAATGAAGCATTTTTAACCATGGAGAACTTGCATATATTATTATTATTATTATTTATTTATTTTTTTTTTACACGGTAAATGACCTGAGTAATCTAATGAGGATTTTTAGATAGCAATGCCTACCTGATGCCGGCAGAATCTTAACAGGTTCATCAGACTCGAGGGGCTCGCTGAAGCCGACCTCGTTCTTTGCGTAGATCCTGAACAGGTATTCGTGATTCTCTTGTAGATCACGGATGGTCAGTCTTTGCACGTCAGCCTTTACGCGGCCAACTTCCATCCACATGGTCTTTTTAGTGTCCCTGATGGCAATCTTGTAGGCATCGAGTGGCGCTCCACCGTCAAACTCTGGTTTGCCCCAGCCGATCGATATCGTGTTGCCGGCTATTTGTCGGATCTCCAAGGGAGCCGTCGGTGGTGATGGTACGCCTGTGAAAATACACGTATATCATTATGTAATCAATTGAATAAATAAGCATATAAATTGTATTTTTTAATTAAGCAAGTTTGTATAGTGTATTTTGTCACGTAAAGAAGTTTTTTAAAGTATAAATACATGTGCTACCGTACGATTGGTTTTTACGCGACTGAAGTTTTTTTTTTTTCATTTCCTGGTTGGTCAAGACAAATCCAGTTGTTTGTTTGGCGGATTTTTCAAACTGGTAAATTAGATTTAATTGTACTCGTATTCAAGACGAAATAAGTTTACTGTGTGAAAATAATCAAGAATGATATTGTTTCATTTGTTTGAGCTATGAAAAAAAAAAAAAAAAAAAAACAATGAGCTAAACAATTGTCCTTAATTGAAGTTAATACTGAAAAAATGTATTCGTAATTTATTTTTATTTTCATAATTTTTTAATTTTCCTGATATACGTTGTATGTATTTTTATTAAAACACTTTGTTAAATTATTATTTAAGTATCTATCTGTTCATATTGTGGCGTTTAAATTAAAAGCTATACAAATTTCAAAAATTTCACTTATAAAGATTGAATAAGCGATAAAATGTAAGCAAAACTATTTATTATCTCTTTGGTTAGTATGGTGTGCAAGTTGAATAATAAAACCGATACCAAAACAAAAACTTAATTTATAAATTAAGCAGTTCAACAAATACTAAACGTATTTATCAGAAAAAGTCATCCAGTACGAAATGTCGAAAATGACTTCACATGGTAGAGATTAAAACCAAAAAGTTTGATTAAATAATTCACGTACTTATAGTACTCAATATTTATAACTGTACTACTGATGCATCGTAAATTGTTTCTCGGGCTTTCATCTTAAAACTAAGGAACACCCCTGAATTTTTACTACTATTTCAAACGCAACTCTTTGAATATGAGCAATTCGAAAATAATTTATGGCTGTCGTCGTATCTTCAATGTTTGAGTCAATATGCTACTGTAATTTTTTTTATTTTATTTTATTTTATTTTATTTTATTTTTTAAATTTATAGTGAGATGCGTTTGAAATGGCTGAAAATTTTTCTGCTGACTAAAATCCTATTCGTGACGAGTAAAATAAGTATTTTACCAGCATGAGATTTGAGTAAAACGGGCTCGCTCAATGTTGGTAAGCTCAGGCCTAAGCTGTTTTCGGCAAAAACTCGGAACAAGAATTCGCTTTCCTTCAAATTCTCGACAAGATAAGTAGTGGTCGTGGCATCTAAAGTGACGATTTTGGTCCATCTCGATCCTTTGCCAATTAATGGCTTTTTTTCAATGATGTACCCTTACGATAAAAAATAAATATATAAATTTCCATAAGTATGTACATGAATTTTTTCATTATTCGACGAAAAAAAAATTTTTTGGTCTCACCTGTAATTTCAGTTCCTCCATCGCTTGCAGGTGGTGACCATTCAAGTGTCACACTTCTGCTGGTGACATTCGTCACTTGTACATTAAGTGGTGGTGACGGTGGTGCTGGATCACAATGATAATTAGTACAAAAGTTTAGACTCCAAAAATCAAATAAATATAAATACATGTGTTGCAAGCAATTTCAATGGTTTTATTTCAACTTACTTTTGCAAGCAAGAACTCTCGTGCCAGGGAAAGTTCCAAGCAAAGCGTATATTGTCTTCTCCGAAACTTTTGTTATTTCTAAGCAGCATTTTAAAAGATGATAAATTCAACACAATTAGCAAGTAGCAGAGATTAGTGCGAATATTTATTTTTTGAGATAACTGAAGGTTTTTGCGTATAAAAAGTGTACGACCAAAACAACTACAGAATTTTTTGTATTGAACTATGTTCAAGAGAACTTAGATGGGTTGCGTTGTCTAATAATCAGAGACAAAAGTCTTTGAAAGTCTTCAAAAGCCACTCAAAGTTTTTATCAAAGTTAACTTTTGGAAAACAACAGAAATACTGTGTTACACTTTAGAAGTCATTAAATGACACTTAATGCCTTCTAAATATTTCTGAAGTACTTTGAAAGATTTTTGATTCCAATCAATAATTTTTTTTAACTTCAAAGTTTACAGATATCTTCAAATGGCTTTAGGTGACTTAAAACGGCAAGGGAGGAAGAAAATGAAAAATGGTACATGCACAATAGCTTACTAGTGTCCACACTTAGCATGTTAAAGTCATTTGTAGTCTTAAATGATTCATAAAGTCTTTTGAAGCTTGAAAAGAATTCGGATATTTTTTATGGGACTTTTATGTGCGCAAAGGAGGTTGTCATAATTTGTGTAGATAATATAATGAATCTCCAGGTAAGTCTTAGTTCTGTTTTGTACAGTAATCTGTTCAAGCGGATTTTGAAATAATTCTATTTTAACTGAGTAACAACGAAGTCTTTAAAAAACAGAATTATAAAAATGCTAACTGATTAATTAAAACAGGTTGTGATATTATATTTTCGTATCTCAAGGAAACGAGCATTGGAGAGGTAAACTTAATAATATTAAACCTCAGTAAAGGTTTATGGATAGTGATTTAAGTCATTTCTTCATCAATAAAGTAAATAAAGTCAATTATTATATGAAGTTCACATTGGCTGTATAAATTATCGATAAAGCGCTCTTGGATTTATGCAGCACAGTGAAAAGTAACGATGTTTCAAAATTAATAATCAAATAAAGAAAAAAAGTAAGAAAAAATACATTGTAAAAATCACCACGAAGTACGATAAAATTAACTATAAATCTGAGTAAAAATTCTTTCAGCTTACGATAATTTTTCGAACAAAAATACTCGTAATATTTTTCTCAGTATATATGTTAGTGCGTATGTGCGAGGCGTACGTGCATGATTGAAAGCATCGTTCTTAATTCAAATAAACCATGTATAGTGATACTTTTTTCGCCTTTAAGATACTTACTCAGCCTTTTACCTGCCACAATAGGTTCTTCGGATACGTACGGTGGACCTGTGCCTATCTTATTTTTCGCAACTATTCGGAAATCGTATGAATTTTCAGTTTTCAAATCTGATACAGAAATATGTGTGGTATCACCCTTAGTTGTTGCTAACTGTAAAATAATTGAATAATTTTAGATGCATTTATAGAATTTTCATTTTAACATTAATTCTTACCTTCTTCCAAGTACTCTTCGAACTCTCTTTGATTTCCACGATATACTCGGTAATGGGTAGTCCTCCATCACTTTCAGGTGGCTGCCATTGGATTGTAAATGATGTTTTGGTCATGCCTGAGACTTCCAGAGGACCTTTTGGGGCGCCAGGTACGCTTGTGGGTTCTCCACTTTTCTGCGAAATTTTGATAGTACTTGAATCAGGTGAAGGGCTGCTTGGTCCGACAGCATTGACGGCTCTCGTTCGGAAAACGTATTCTGAGTTTATCTTCATTTCGTCTATCGTATATGTGGTTCCTGTTATTTTTTCCGATACCTTGGACCAACTGGAAATTTATCTTCATTTATATTTATATTCGAATAAAGAGTATAAAAAACATTTTTTCTAACTTATAACAGTTTTACAAATGAGGAGAACATACGTCGTAGCTTCTTTTTGTCGATACTCCAAAATGTATTCAGTGATTGGCGAATTTCCATCGGAACTCGGCTTATTCCATTCAAGTGTTACGCTCTCATTTGTAATGTATGTGGCTTCTGGGGCACTTGGAGCGCTGGGTACGTCTGTTGACAAAAAAAAAGTTAAATATTAAAAATTACACTTTTTTTGCATGCCTTGACCTAGTGTGGTTAAAAAAACTGTGGACTTAAAGTACTATAAAAGTTGATACTATTTTTCCATTACTTTAAAGAGTAACTTAATTTAACAGTTACGTAATAAAATTGATGTTTTTGAGAGTAAAAAACGACAAAAATTCATCAAATACGAAACTTACGCATGATGACCAGCTTAATGTTTATCGCGGCATCGCCGTGAATATTTGTAAGTTTCAAGTTATAATCTCCTACGTCGTCTTTTCCTGTTTTCTTAATGGTCAACGTAGCTGATTCCTCATCGATTGTAGGCACTTTGCGTTCCGATTTTACCAATATACGACCATTAACAGTCCATTCATCATTTGGTTTTGGTGCAGCCGTAAAGTGAATTTTCATTTCGACATCATCACCAACCTTGACCTTGTAAATTGTCGGAGAATCTGTGCTTATTACAGGTGCAGCTTCGTGAACTGAAATAGTGTTGATTTTGAGATTATTATGCATTATTTCTACAGTAATACAACAATTAATTTCATGTTTGTTTAGCAAAAAAAAGATTTCTTTAAGGTCAAGGATCTTAACAAAACTTTAGGATTTCTTTCTATAGGAATAAGACGAAAGAAAATGTGTAAGTCTCGAAGACTCAATGACTTTAAGTTGTATTATGTTTAAAATGTCTTTAAAAACCCTGTTAAGATGAGCATCAGATTTTTTAAACCACAAAAATAATAGTTTTCGTCACAGGTGCGCATTTTCAGGGTGCTTGCGAAGCAACTATCCTATCAAAATCCAGTTAAAATATATGAGTTTTTTTTTCTTTTCAAGTGTACCTTCAACTTTTAGTTTAGAAGAGGACTTAACGTTAGTAGCGATAACACTGTATTCCAGAGCATCTTCTGTTGTACAATTGTTGATTTTTAGTATTTTTTTCTGGCCCTCGTCGATGATTGTATATTTTGGTGATTCATGTATCTCTTGATTTTTCCTGGAATGGTTAAGATAATTCATTACGTAACTTTCATGGAATGGAAATAATTTATACATAAAAATTTTAATTATCGAACCTTAGCCATGTAACGGGAATCATTGGATCAGATAGTTCTATTTGAAATATTGCAACTTTATTCAGTGGAACTAATGTAATTTCAGGTAAGCGCTTTATAAATTCAACTCCTGGCTCCTCAACTGTAAGTTTTGCACTTGACATTTGATTTCCAACCTTGCAAGAGTAAGTTCCAGCATCATCCAGCTTTGCATTGTGAATTTCTAACTTTTGTCGTTTACCGTCAATTAAAAGCTGCATGTGTTCCGAGAATTGGAGTTCTTGGTCATCTTTGAACCAACGTACAAGAGCGTCACCTTTCGTAAGTTCTATTTCAAAGACTGCCTTTTCACCTCTTGCAATTGTGATGTTTTGAATTTTTGTGATTATTTCAGGTGGCAATTCTGAAATATATTTTGAAATAATTAAACCTAATGATCAATCGAATGTGCATCCAGAGAATTATATTATGTTCAATGAAATAATCTCCTTTCTTTGCATGTGTAGAATGTAGACCAAAGAATCAAAGCGTCTAATATGGATAAGTTTTTAAATAATTATTTCCCAACATTAGATTTATCTACTTACCAACAACTGTTACTTCAGCAGAGCATGTTTGATCGACTAAGGTACACATATACTCTCCTTCATCTTGAATAGAAGTGGATCGTATAAGTAACTTTCTAATAGTGCCTTCTTTAATAAACTCGAATTTTTGAACTGATGGACTTAGAGGTATACCATCTTTGAACCAAGATACATCAGCTGTTTTAGACGTTATTTCTACTTCTAAAATAGCTTCATCTTTTTCGACCACTTCAAAATCTTGCAATTTTTTAGTAAACTCTGGTTTCAAAGCTGTAAAATACGTTTTAACACCAATTTAAAATGCTAAACTAAAAAGACTAAATTATATTTTATTATAATATGAAAAATATGGCTCACGTTTAACTGTCAAATCACAAAAAGTTTTTTGGTTTTTAACGGTACACTTGTAGGTACCTTCATCAATTTGATTTATGCGTTTTATGACGAGTTTGTGAACTTTTCCTTCTTGTGCGATTTCACGGTGATCCATTCCACTTATTTCGTTATCATTATGCCACCACGTTGTTGACACTGTATGTGAGGTTTCACAAACTAGTTCTAAAGTTGTGTACTCGTCAATAGTTTTTCTTCGATCGAGTTTCTTTACAAAGTTAACTTTTTCGACGTCTACAGTGACTTTTGCGCCATGAGACGTCTTGCCAACTGGGTTTGCAGCAACACATTTATAATCTCCCGCGTCAACTTCCGAGTCAGCATTTCTGATTTCCAGTGTAATAGATTCACCATCATAACTTTCTGTAATGTTCGCCGATTTTCCCAGTGGCTTGTTGTTTCTAATTGTTAGCATACAAATATTTCTTAGTTATATTGTATTATTTGACTTTTTAATGATTTGTTTATTGTAAACCTACCTTAACCACGTTACTTCTGGCACTGGATTTCCGGTGACTTTAGCACAAAGTTTAAACGTTCCTTTCTCGGGTACAGTCAATTCTTGGAATCTTTCAGTAAACAATGGAGGTTCTGGAGCACCACTGGGCATCTCTGTAAAAAAAAAAAAATTGAGTAAGATACGCATACACATTATATAGTGCCCATCATTTCTCATTACAAATAATTACATTGTCATACAGGGATTTGTGCTAGATGCGCAAATTAATTTTTAATATATGGATTGTAAAGTTGAATCATAGTCGTAGGCTTAAATAAACCTAATTGGAAGTAACATGGAAGTTAATATATTCAAATTTGTAAGACAATAAACATTTATACACAAGCAAACGCACGTACACGCAATTTCAATTCGCTAAAACATTGTATGGGTTCTCGTTTTGTTTTGAAGAGATAAATCTTGATTCTTTCAAGATTATTAATTGATGTTGAAGAATCGTGCTGATTAAAAAAAATTTTTTTTTTATCATTAATGGTTTAATCTTGAGAAAATGTTTACCCTTTTCATACTTAAAAGAGGGTCTTGTATTTTTAACTGCTGAACTCGCGAAAGTAATCATTCTATTAAAGTTATCTTGGCATTATGATATTATAAAATGTTTTCTGACAAATATGCTTATCGTTCTCAGTCTTCCAGAACTATGTCAACTCAAATTTTAGAATAATTTTTCAAATGTAAGTATTTAATTAGAGCGAAAACCTTTTTCTTCTAAAAATGCCTATAATTAACGATTGGTTCATAAGAAGTTTTTAATTTTTAATATTAGCAAAAGTTTTAATAGCTTGATAGTGGCATGCTTTGCAGTCGTTTTTCATTAAAATATGTTAAATGAAAATGATGTTAAATGAAAAGTTAAAAAATTTGTGCATAAATATGCCTCTTAGAAAATCATTTAAAATTAAAGATACAGTGATAATTTAAAAAAGATCATGCAAAAAATGTCTTTATTTATCTTTTTATTTTTATATTAGAACTTTGTCTTGATTTTGAAATCTATACTTCCTTGCTCTTCAAGTTTTTCTTAAAGTAAGAAATCGTGGAACTCTATTTAACTTTTAACTGCTAGCTATATTTCAAACTATGTAGCATTGGACTCATCATTATTTATTCATGAGCTTTCATTTAAATGCATGGTTTTAAGACTCACTCTTTCATTTTGCAACAATCTTAAAATGTACTGTAGACAAAAAAACATGTAGTGACTAACTTTTATTCTCTTCGTTTTTAGATAATTGCAGAATAAAAAAGTGAACCTTAATAAATGATCGTCCAAATAATACCATATATTAATAAAATAAAGTCAGGAGATCCTGAGGTTATTGCACAATGTTGGAAGTCTAACCAGTGGAAAAAAATTAAAGTGGAGACTCACGTCATGGAAACAATGGTACCTTGAGAGTTTCGTGTATTTTTTCATGTTAAGAACTTTTATAAAAACGTTTATACTCGAGCCAAATAAACCCAACTATATGTTTTACAGAAAAGTCAGAGTTTCTTTAAGGCCAAATTTTATTCACAAGCATGCATGATTGCAAATCTTTTTAGTTACCAGCAGTACAAATAAATTACGCAATATTTTCGAAATTAAAAAAATTTCCTCGATGAGGAAAAAAATCTATATTTATTTAAATTTTTGCGGAAAAAATTTTAGTTTTCAGATTTATTGAAATGGTAGAGGTTAGAACTTAAATTCAATTTAAGAAACAATAAACACCTTAAATACGTATATTTGTTTCAGAAATTATATTGATCAGTATTATTCAGTTTTGGATTCGAAAAGGTATAGATACAGATATTGTAGAAAGTATAACAAATTGAAACTTATCTTGAAAAATTTCTTATTTCCCACTTTGAATTTTATCTAATTTTAAGCATAAAAATTGTGTTAGATCTAGACCACAGTTTTTTTGGAGGTTTTGAAAGACACATATCTATTACAGTGCTTATTTTTTAGTAAGTGTTGTAAAAAAATAGTTTGTTAATTCAAGAATAACGTTATTTTAGCATAAATAAAAATACCCTTGAGTGAAAGAAGCCCCACGTAGTCTTCTCTAGCTAATTCAAATGCTAAAGAAAGAGCAACATCTAAAGTAGCGGCAGCTGCAATGATTAGTTTAAACAAGCATATTTAAGTAGAAATGCATGTTATTAAATAAAAATAAGTATAAAAAAATATAAGTATACAAATATGTACGATAATTTAAAAAAATTCTAAGCAATAAGGCTGGCAAAATTACTTCAGTTAATATTTTTGCATGTAATCATATCCTTTTTTGAGTATTAAACATTTATTTTGTACGTACTTTCGACAGTAAGTATAGCTTTGGTTTCAGCAGTTCCTAATTCGTTAGTTGCCACGACAGCATATTCTCCTGAATCCAATATTTTAGGTTGAATCAAAGTGAGAGAATTGATATTTCCATCTATTTTTGGTGTCACGTCTTCCAAAGGTCTGCTATCTTTTAGCCATTTGATTAATGGACTTGGATTTCCGACAATTTGCGTTGATAATACAACTGTTTCTCCTTCTCTAACAGAAAATGGTTTCAATGGTTCTAATATTTCAGGTGGTTCTCTGTTTCCAGTTTGAACCTATATTAAAGTAATTTTAAAATGTGAATTACGTATCAAAAAGTTTATAAACAGTATCTTGATTAAACTAGTAAAAAAATAGTAAAATTAATGTGTGTGTATGTGTGTGTCGTGCCATATATATAATAATGATAAAACATCATTAGATTTATCATCAGATATACTACAATTATCTATTGCATTTACCTTAAGAGGTATTTCAATTAATGCCTCGCCCTCCCGATTTTTTGCCACGATTGTATATTTTCCTTCTTGTTCTTTAGATACTTGGGTAATTTTTATAACACTACAGTACATATGCATATCGCTTTCTGTAACAATAGTAATATTTTCTTTCGTCATGATTTTCTTGTCATCGTATAGCCAAATGATTTCTGGTTCAGGTACTGCAACTAATCTGCAATCAAGAATAACATTGTCTCCTTCTTTAACACATTTTGCTTTTGGCTGCCGAGAAAATGTTGGGGGGATTCCTTCTAAGATATCTGCTAGTGATGATTCCCTGAAATATAATTATGGATATTAAAGAACTCAAAACTTATAAAAAATTAGTTTTTCAATGCATTTCCAATATATTGAATATATTATTGAACTTTTAACTGCTAGCTATATTTCAAACTATGTAGCATTGGACTCATCATTATTTATTCATGAGCTTTCATTTAAATGCATGGTTTTAAGACTCACTCTTTCATTTTGCAACAATCTTAAAATGTACTGTAGACAAAAAAACATGTAGTGACTAACTTTTATTCTCTTCGTTTTTAGATAATTGCAGAATAAAAAAGTGAACCTTAATAAATGATCGTCCAAATAATACCATATATTAATAAAATAAAGTCAGGAGATCCTGAGGTTATTGCACAATGTTGGAAGTCTAACCAGTGGAAAAAAATTAAAGTGGAGACTCACGTCATGGAAACAATGGTACCTTGAGAGTTTCGTGTATTTTTTCATGTTAAGAACTTTTATAAAAACGTTTATACTCGAGCCAAATAAACCCAACTATATGTTTTACAGAAAAGTCAGAGTTTCTTTAAGGCCAAATTTTATTCACAAGCATGCATGATTGCAAATCTTTTTAGTTACCAGCAGTACAAATAAATTACGCAATATTTTCGAAATTAAAAAAATTTCCTCGATGAGGAAAAAAATCTATATTTATTTAAATTTTTGCGGAAAAAATTTTAGTTTTCAGATTTATTGAAATGGTAGAGGTTAGAACTTAAATTCAATTTAAGAAACAATAAACACCTTAAATACGTATATTTGTTTCAGAAATTATATTGATCAGTATTATTCAGTTTTGGATTNTTTATTTCATAAGTAAACTTGTATCGTTCACAAAGTTTAAAAATTATAAAAAAATTCTACCTTGACAAACTTTTTCTCGAAAGAATCGTTATATCAGAAGCATGATCGGATCCAGGTATATCTACAGTTAATTCTGTTGAACTTGATGCAAATCCAGCCGTATTTTTTGCTACACAGGTAAACGTTCCAGCATCTTCTGGAAAAACCTCTTTGATAATTAAAGTTGCGACATTGTCATCATCATAAAACATTTGGAAATCTGGAGAAGGTTTAATAATAGCTGTTTGACGGAACCAAGTGATTTGTGGCCGTGGTACACCTTCAACTTGACATTCAAATTGCACTGTATATCCATCAGGAGTATGAATTGGTTGCAATTTTTCAATGAATCGTGGGGCAAACGTTTGTTCTCCTAATGAAGCTTCTAAATAAGAAAAAATACATGTAAATTACTTTTATACATAGGCATACAAAAAAGAAATACAAGATGATATTAAAATCATACTTTCAAAAACTGGTAATTTATCAATTTTTTCATGAAGTTTTCTTTGCAAATAAATTGTATATTGTGCTTCGTCGAGAAGATATTGCGCGGGAACCCAACCCTTTTCTTGAGTAAGATGTTTCTTAACAAACCACCAATCAGAGTTGGTATGTTCTATGATTAGAAATTATTATTTGAATTGCATATTAAATTGAAGTAAGTATAGTCAAAACTCAAAAATTTTACCAATTATATACACTTTTTCTCCTTCTATCAAATTTGTTGCTTCTTCGGTTTCAGCAACATATGAACAAATAGAAATCATCGTATCTCCATCACGGACTGCATATTCAACATCTGTAAAAGTATTCTTATCAATAGAGATCTCAATTTTATTAGATTTTTTAAAGTTATATTTTCATCTAAAATATTACCTTCTTCGCAAACATCTTCTTCTTTTGTTATGCTTAAAGTTGCCTCTTCTGTAAGTCACAAAAAATTGTATTAAGTATTTGACTACGTAATTCTGTAAAGTACAGTGCCGCTTTACCGATATGCTTTTCTACCGCTGTGTGTTATAAATAGAGAATAGAGGTGGAGGTCATTAATAATCTTACTTACTATTAGAAATTTCATGGAATATAAAATTATAATCTTCTGAAAATGAAAGACTATCAAGAACATAAATATATTAGGTTAAATAAACATTCAAACCTTCTTTGTAAGTAGAAACCCGTTGTGTAGGCTTGAGCCTTAATGCCAATGACTCATCAGTTTCTTCTCGAGAATATTTGCGTTCAGTTTTCAAGATTAATTTTATATCATCTGAAGATTCTTCTACTGCATAAGATGTACTTTTTTTCAAAGGATGTTTGCATTTAAGTGGTAAATTAAATTCATCAGTTTCTAACTCTTGGATATTATACTGCTCCTTATCCAAATCATAAATGTATTCTGTGGTGGTAGGACTAGAATCATACTCTTCAACAATTTTTATCGTTTCTTCATCAGCCTCTTCCGAATATGTTGGTTTTTTTTTCTTAGGTTTTAACCTAACTTTTCCACTCATAGATATATCTTCTTCTTCATAAGTATTTAAAGAAATTTTAAATTCTTGTTCGACATCTTCTTTCGTTTTCGTAGTACGAGGCTTGAACGTCACAGATTCAGTTTCAGTAACTTCTTTTATATCAGATGGAAGCTTCTTTCGAGGACGTAATTTTTTTATTGTTACATCTTCATAAACTTCTTCAATAGGCTTTGGTGGTGAACTTGGTGGTTTTCTAGATAGCGTGAATTCATGGATATCATCAGACAAATCCAGATCTTCCATATACATTTTTTTAACAACTGATTCATCAGTGAATTCAGATATTTTTTCATTTTCAGAACTTATATCAGCAGTGATGTTATCTTTTAGCTTTTCTTCTAGCACATCATCAGATGGCTTAGTACTGCTGATTTCTTCTGAAGTTTCATTTTCAACTTTCTCTGTTAAGTTTAAACTAGGTTTTTTTACAGTTAGCTCAGCTGCTGACTCTTCAATTATTTTTTTCATCGGTTTCTTTTTCACAGCTATCTTTGCAGTAACATCTTCAAATTCTTTCTTTTCTAGCATGACATCAGAAGGTTGTAGGATGGTAACATTATCCACAGTTTCTTCAACAACTGGCTTCTTTTTAGGCTTTTTGTAGATCTTTACTTCTTCTACATCTTCAGAGTTCTCTGCGGATGCCGTACTAGATTTCTTAACTGTAAGTGTATCATCAGATTCTGCAATCGATTTCTTGTTAAATTTTTTCCTTAAACTTATTTCTTCAGTAACATCTTCAATATCTTCTTGTGGACCGACATCAGACGGCTGAGTGATCGTAATATCTTCTTGAGTTTCTTCAACGACGGGCTTCTTTTTAGGTTTTTTGTAGATCTGTACTTCTTCTACATCTTCAGGTTTCTCTGCGGATACCACACTAGGTTTCTTAGCTGTTAGTTCATCAGCAGATTCTGCGATCGATTTCTTTTTTGATTTTTTCCTTAAACTTATTTCTGCAGTAACTTCTTTAATATCTTCTTGTGGGCCGACATCAGACGGCTGAGTGATCGTAATATCTTCTTGAGTTTCTTCAAAAACTGGCTTCTTTTTAGGCTTTTTGTAGATCTGCACTTCTTCTACAGCATCTTCAGATTTCTCTGCGGATACTACACTAGGTTTCTTAACTGTAAGTTCATCAGCAGATTCTGCGATCGATTTCTTTTTTGTTTTTTTCCTTAAACTTATTTCTGCAGTAACATCTTCAATATCTTCTTGTGTGCCGACATTAGACTGCTGAGTGATCGTAATATCTTCTTGAGTTTCTTCAATAACTGACTTCTGTTTAGGCTCTTTGTAGATCTGGACTTCCTCTACATCTTCCTCAATCTTCTCGGATTCTATGAAACTTGGTTCTTCAACTGTCAGTTTATCACCAGACTCTTTAATAGATTTTTTTCTCGGCTTTTTCTTTAGCTCGATGTCCGCAGTAACAACCTCTGTATCTTTTTCTTGAGGACCAACATCAGAAGGTTGAATGATCGTCGTATCTTCTTCAATTTCTTCAACAACTGGCTTCTTTTTAGGCTTTTTGTAGATCTGCACTTCCTCGAAGACTTCCTCAATCTTCTCGGATTCTATGAAACTTGGTTTTTCAACTGTCAGATTATCAGCAGACTCTTTAATAGATTTTTTTCTCGGTTTTTTCTTTAGCTCGATTTCCGCTGTAACAACCTCTGTATCTTTTTCTTGAGGACCGACATCAGAAGGATGAATAGTCGTCGTATCTTCTTCAATTTCTTCAACAACTGGCTTGTTTTTAGGCTTTTTGTAGATCTGCACTTCCTCTACAACTTCCTCAATCTTCTCGGATTCTATGAAACTTGGTTCTTCAACTGTCAGTTTATCACCAGACTCTTTAATAGATTTTTTTCTCGGCTTTTTCTTTAGCTCGATGTCCGCAGTAACAACCTCTGTATCTTTTTCTTGAGGACCAACATCAGAAGGTTGAATGATCGTCGTATCTTCTTCAATTTCTTCAACAACTGGCTTCTTTTTAGGCTTCTTGTAGATCTGCACTTCGTCTATAACTTCCTCAATCTTCTCGGATTCTATGAAACTTGGTTTTTCAACTGTCAGATTATCAGTAGACTCTTTAATAGATTTTTTTCTCGGTTTTTTCTTTAGCTCTATTTCTGCAGAAACAACTTCCTTATCTTTTTCTTGAGGACTAACATCAGAAGTCTGAGTGATAGTAATATCTTCTTGAGTTTCTTCAACGACTGGCTTCTTTTTAGGCTTTCTGTACATCTGCACTTCTTCTAGAACGTCTTCTGGTTTTTCAGCGGATATTACACTAGGTTTCTTAACTTTTAGTTCATCAGCAGACTCATTAATAGATTTTTTTCTGGGTTTTTTCTTAAGCTCTTTTTCTGTAGAAACAACTTCTGTATCTTTTTCATGTGGACCAACATCAGAACGCTGAATGATCGTAATATCTTCTTCAGATTTTTCAACGACTGGCTCCTTATCAGAGTCATCTTCATTCCAAGGTTTTAACGCAACCATTTCTCTCTTTTTGTCTTCCTTATCTTTTGATGTAATCCGAAATCCTACTTCATCTTCATTCTTGAAGGGCTCAATTTTGGACTCCCTTTTTACAATAGGTATTATTTCCTTATCTTGCTCTATTTTTTTCTTGTCTGGCCGTTTGTATTTGTCTGACTGACGATCAGGTGACTGTTTATTATCAGTTTCAGTATTTTCCGGTGTGAAAACATCAAGATTTATCTCACTGTCATCAATAGGTTTTAACTCGTCGAGTTTCAAAGATTTATCTTGTCGGGTATCGTCGAGTTTTTTTGAAGCTGCTTTATCAGCAGCAGACTTCGATTGTTTCTCATCTTTTTCCAACTCTTCTTTTTCTTCTTTGCTTGGTATTATTTTTAATTTCACATCATCTTGAAGGATTTTCTCTTCTGGTACACTTCCTTTGCCTATCTTTAATTTTTTAGGCTTGTCTATAACCTTATCTTTTTGAATTTTCTTTGGTTTTTCGTAGACAGATTTATCCTCGATTTTTTCTAGAGGAACTTTCTTTAAGTCTTCAAATTCTTTGTCTAATTTTTCCAAAACAGTTACTTCCTTTTCAGGAATTTTTTTAATTTTAAGTTTTTTCTTCAGGACTTGTTCTGCTTCTTCTGTATTGCGAGATACTATACCATTTTGTATTGGATTATCTTCTATAAGTGTTATTACAGGTGTTTGCAAAGGCGCTGGCCAATCGGATATAAAAGTTATTCGACTTTTCAATCTGACTTTTGGAACTTGCGTAATTGTTGATTCTTTTTTCGTTGGTGTATTGGTCTTTTTTAACTTTATATCGGCAAATTGAATTTTTTCTGAAGACTCAGTGTATTTAAGTTGCGTTGATTTTATTTCTTTTCTTTCAATTTTACTGGGAACTAGTTTTTGCAATTCTGGAGGTATTTTTGTTTTATCTCTTGGCTTTCTTGGCTCCCATTGAATTTTTTCAGGCATTGGTTCAAGTACTGGAGCCGTGTATTCTGGTTCAACCCATTCTTCGATGTCAGTTGTTTTTGTAATTGGTTTTTTATTTTTAATTTTCTTAACAGACTTCTTCGGTTGAGTAACCTCTGTCATTAATGGGCCTTTTAACGGTAGATCATTATTATTTTCTTGAAGTTTAGTTACTGATTTCTCTGATTCCATAATTTCCGTAATATTAGCTGGCTGATCTGTATGTTTGTTTGGCTTAGGTTCTGTCATGGATAATTCATTTAATGATGGTTTTCTCATTGTTTTAGTTGTTTGGTCTTTACATGGTAAGGGCAATACATTTGGTAATTCTATATTATCCCCTGCCAAGTGCTCTTGATCGGTCAATGTTTCTTTCAACCAAGGTTTTAATTGGATTTGATCTGGCGTATGATCAATTTTGTCAGAAGGAGGTATTTTAAATTTAATTTCACTGTCACTTAAAGGTGAATCTGGTTTGGGTTTTCCTTTTATTAGTTGTGTTTGTTCAGTAACTTGTTCGATTTTTTTCTTGTCTGGCCGTTTGTATTTGTCTGACTGACGATCAGGTGACTGTTTATTATCAGTTTCAGTATTTTCCGGTGTGAAAACATCAAGATTTATCTCACTGTCATCAATAGGTTTTAACTCGTCGAGTTTCAAAGATTTATCTTGTCGGGTATCGTCGAGTTTTTTTGAAGCTGCTTTATCAGCAGCAGACTTCGATTGTTTCTCATCTTTTTCCAACTCTTCTTTTTCTTCTTTGCTTGGTATTATTTTTAATTTCACATCATCTTGAAGGATTTTCTCTTCTGGTACACTTCCTTTGCCTATCTTTAATTTTTTAGGCTTGTCTATAACCTTATCTTTTTGAATTTTCTTTGGTTTTTCGTAGACAGATTTATCCTCGATTTTTTCTAGAGGAACTTTCTTTAAGTCTTCAAATTCTTTGTCTAATTTTTCCAAAACAGTTACTTCCTTTTCAGGAATTTTTTTAATTTTAAGTTTTTTCTTCAGGACTTGTTCTGCTTCTTCTGTATTGCGAGATACTATACCATTTTGTATTGGATTATCTTCTATAAGTGTTATTACAGGTGTTTGCAAAGGCGCTGGCCAATCGGATATAAAAGTTATTCGACTTTTCAATCTGACTTTTGGAACTTGCGTAATTGTTGATTCTTTTTTCGTTGGTGTATTGGTCTTTTTTAACTTTATATCGGCAAATTGAATTTTTTCTGAAGACTCAGTGTATTTAAGTTGCGTTGATTTTATTTCTTTTCTTTCAATTTTACTGGGAACTAGTTTTTGCAATTCTGGAGGTATTTTTGTTTTATCTCTTGGCTTTCTTGGCTCCCATTGAATTTTTTCAGGCATTGGTTCAAGTACTGGAGCCGTGTATTCTGGTTCAACCCATTCTTCGTAGTCTGCTTTTTTTTTCATTGGTTTTTTTTTCTTTTTTGGAATTGCAACAGGTTCATGGTCAGATTTCATATCATGTTCATTTGGTTTTAAAAACGATAGTGGCAATTGTACAGGTACTTCAGAATTTTCTTCAGATGGAACGATTTCTTCTGGAGCGGCAACTTTAGTTTTAGCATTAACTTGTTTAATTTGAGTTTCTTTTTCTTCTTTAGGTGATTCTGTTTTATTATTTATTTTAAATGCGACTTTTTTTTTAGGTTTCTTGGAATGTTCTTTGTGCCCTTCATTATTAGTATCTAATTTGTCATTAGATAAAATACCTTCCATTTTCTCGTCATGTTGAATTATTTCTTGTTCACTTGCCTTTGTGTCAACCACATTTGATTGAATACTAATGGATTCTTCTACTTTCGAAATCTAAAAAAAAATTGTATCATTAGTATATTATTGTTGATACATAAAATTGTATAGTTACTTAATGAAACATGTATCAATATAAGACATTTCAAAAAAGCATTCACTCTGGACATGTCAGTTAGCACCATCGTGTATGTATTGCCAACCTGGTAGAGTGGTGCATTAATAATGTCTTACAGTGATTTTTTATAAAATAAATAATGTAAAAATTATAGAATTCATTAAAGAAAATATTGACAATAGGTATTCATGCAATAACGCTACTTGTCAAACATAGTGGGGGTATTATTAAATTTTAAAAATTCTAAAGTTTGTTTGTAATCATTTTAACCATAGTTTGACATATTTGTAAATAAGCTTAACTGTAAAAAGAATATTTAATTTGTCCGTTTTGGCATGTTCTAACATCTATATACTTTCTCAGACCGTACCGAAAAATAATTTCTCAGTTTTATTCAGTGCAGACTTACCCACATCAAATAAATTAAAAATAGAAAAAGCCCACGCTTTTAACATTCCAAAAAAAAAAAAAACTTGAACTCCGAAAGAGCATGGTTGTTCGTACGTTTCTGTATGAACATGCCCGAGTCACGTTTATTATTTTTAATACCAAGGGCGAAAAGTAATTACAAAAGCGCAAAGTGCGTTCTGAGGGTGGAAAGCGGCAGTTATTCTAGGTAAGAAAATCATGTTAAATATGTCAATGTCTACTGTGGTGACTCCCAATCTGAATAAAATAAGTATTGGTACATCTATATTGATGAAAAATATCTTTGCATGTACTACATGCATTTTGTTACACCGCTTCGAAAAAATGTAGTAGTAACTAAACTTTTGAAAAAACTAAATATTTTGTAAAATTATTTGAAAAGTCTACTTATTAAGAAAAACTTTTCAATAAAAAATATATCAAGTTTTTCTACCCTCAGTTTCGAAATTTCTCAACGTACAGCATAACTAAATGTTATCATGTACGAAAAGCAAACTAATTAAACAACTTGGTGATTATATATCCATTTAAACGTAATATAGCTCGATGTTCAAAGAATTTAAGAAATATAAAAAAATTTTACAAAAGTTTTAACTTGATGACGAAAATTAATAATATTCGAAGTTCAAGGGACTGTTTTGAATAAAACTATAGAATAAAAAAGAAAATTAAGCACATGCATATCTAACTAATCAAAAAGACATTTCGTTAATTAGGACAAATTTTTGTCTATCTCAGGCATATTAGCATTTATTACATATAGTAAATATCAATTCTACAAAATATTAATAAAATTTAGAAAAAGTAAAAGGAATTTAACAACGGAAAAAAAAAGATTAAGAAAAGTATTGCAAACAAAATTCTCGTGGATTATTAACTGATAGAAAATTGTATATAACAACTAACCTACACTATTGTTTCATAGCTATCTTTTTTAATCACAAAACAATTTTAATGACGTACTAGCAAACATTATTAAAGAAAAAGCAACACAACCAATAAATGTGGAAAATTAGGCAAGGCGCCAACGTTAATAAATATAAGTTAAATACAAAAAAAATCTAACTAAAAACCATACTAGTATAAGCAGGGAAAAAGAGGGCAAAACTTTTAAATAAACCCTTATTCCATACAATAAAAAAATTAAAACCTTTAACTTACTTCTATTTCAGGCGAAATAGCAGAATCTGAAAAAAAAGGGCGATCAGTATAAAAATAAATATTTAAAATGATTCAGCATGTAAATATGAGTACTTTCAATTCGTATTAAAAGTGAAAGGAGACTAACCTCCAAGACAATCAGACTCAACTTGTGCAAGCACAGGCTCGTTAATAGATTGTAGTGTGTGATTTAATAATACACTATTAGCCCTTGTGTAAGGATAAGGTATTTCTTTCACAAGCATGTCAGAATCTTGAGTATCGTGTGTGTAAGAACATTCAGACAAACCCATAGGCACAGAGGTGTTATAATCAACCTGTTCATCGATATCTTCAAACTCTAAAATATTTGAAGACATAGAAGCTAGAGAAATACTAAGAACCTCATCAGAAACTACCCCTAATATTGGAGAAACAGTTACACGATCTGTGACTTCATCATCAGAAAGATTCTTCTCAGATACTGTTGAAAAAGAAATCGTATCCGCAACAATACCTTCTTCGACAGAAGAGTCAAAAACTGTTGTGACACGTGGGGCTCCCTCTTCTTCGACAGCAACAATTTCTGTGACTTCCTGTTTCTTGCCCATTTCATGAGTGATTTTTCTCTTTGTGGTCTTTATGTCTTTGCCTTCGGGCGTTGTTTCTTGGACCACAGTCACTTGTTCCTTTACCTCCTCACTTTCTGCAGGTGTCTCGTACTCTGTTACAGGAAAGAGACCAGTTGTTTCGTCAAACAAAACTTCTTCTGGTACTTTTTACGTCTTTGCCTTCAGGCGTTGTTTCTTGGACCACAGTCACTTGTTCCTTTACCTCCTCACTTTCTGCAGGTGTCTCGTACTCTGTTACAGGAAAGAGACCAGTTGTTTCGTCAAACAAAACTTCTTCTGGTACTTCATGAACAGTCGTAACAGGAGATTTTCCTTCTTCTTCAACTGTAACAATTTCGGTCACTTGCTGCTTCTTGCCCCTTTTTCTCGTAAGTGTCTTCTTTGTAATTTTAACGTCTTTGCCATGAGGCGCTGAAGTTTCTGATACAGTAATGTGTTCCGTAATAACGTCTTCAGATGGCTTTTCTCCAGCAACCGGTAAAAGACAAGTTGTCTCCTCAAGCATGTCTTCCACAGTAACTTCGTGAACTGGAGTGACAGGTGGCTTCCCATCTTCTTCGACAGTAACAATTTCAGTAACTTGTTGTTTTTTGCCTTTTTTGTGTGTCACTTTCTTCTTCGTCGTTTTCACGTCTTTGCCTTCAGGCGTTGTTTCTTGCACCACAGTAACTTGTTCCTTCACCTCCTCACTTTCTGCAGGTGTCTCGTACTCTGTTACAGAAAGAAGACCGGTTGTTTCGTCAAACCTAACTTCTTCTGGTACTTCGTAAACAGTCGTAACAGGAGATTTTCCTTCTTCTTCGACTGTGACAATTTCAGTCACTTGCTGCTTCTTGCCCCCTTGTCTCGAAAGCGTCTTTTTTGTAATTTTAACGTTCTTGCCATTGGGCGTTAATGTTTCTGATACAGTTACTCGTTTTGTGATTTCGTCTTCAGACGTCTTTTCTTTAGCAACCGGTAAAAGACAAGTTGCCTCCTTAAGCACGTCTTCGACAGGAACTTCTTGAACTGTAGTGACAGGTGGCTTCCCATCTTGTTTGACAGTGACAATTTCTGTAACTTGTTGTTTTTTGCCTTTTTTGTGCGTCACCTTTTTCTCTGTTGTTTTCATGTCTTTGCCTTCAGGCGTTCTTTCTTGCACCACAGTCACTTGTTCCTTTACCTCCTCACTTTCTGCAGGTGTCTTGTTCTCTGTTACAGCAAGGAGACCACTTAATTCATTCAACACAACTTCATCTGGTACTTCATGAACAGTTGTAACAGGAGATTTTCCTGCTTCTTCGACTGTAACAATTTCAGTTACTTGCTGCTTCTTGCCCCTTTTTTTTGTAAGTGTCTTGTTTGTAATTTTAACTTCCTTGCCATCAGGCGTTAAAGTTTCTGATACAGTAACCCGTTCTGTGATTTCGTCTTCAGACGTCTTTTCTTCAGCAACCGGTAAAAGACAAGTTTCCTCAAGCATATCTTCGACAGGAACTTCGTAAACAGTAGTGACAGGTGGCTTCCCATCTTCTTCGACAGTGACAATTTCAGTAACTTGTTGTTTTTTGCCTTTTTTGTGCGTCACTTTCTTCTCTGTTATTTTTACGTCTTTGCCTTCAGGCGTTGTTTCTTGCACCACAGTCACCTGTTCCTTTACCTCCTCACTTTCTGCAGGTTTCTCGTCCTCTGTTACAGGAAGGAGACCACTTAATTTATTTAACACAACTTCATCTGGTACTTCATGAACAGTCGTAACAGGAGATTTTTCTTCTTCTTCATCGGTGACAATTTCGGTCACTTGCTGCTTCTTGCCCCTTTTTTTTGTAAGTGTATTCTTTGTAATTTTAACGTCCTTGCCATCTGGCGTTAAGGTTTTTGATACAGTAACCTGTTCCGTGATTATATCGTCAGACGTCTTTTCTTCAGCAACCGGTAAAAGACAAGTCTCCTCAAGCACATCTTCGACAGGAACTTCGTAAACTGTAGTGACAGGTGGCTTCCCATCTTCTTCGAGAGTAACAATTTCAGTAACTTGTTGTTTTTTGCCTTTTTTGTGCGTCACTTTCTTCTCTGTCATTTTCACATCTTTGCCTTCAGGCTTTGTGTCTTGCACCACAGTCACTTGTTCCTTTACCCTTTCACTTTCTGCAGGTGTCTCGTTCTCTGTTAGAGGAAGGAGACCAGTTGTTTCGTCCAACACACTTTCATTTGTTACTTCGTGAACAGTTGTAACAGGAGATTTTCCTTTCTCTTCAACGGTAATAATTTCGGTCACTTGCTGCTTCTTGCCCCTTTTTTTTGTAAGTGTCTTGTTTGTAATTTTAACTTCCTTGCCATCAGGCGTTAAAGTTTCTGATACAGTAACCCGTTCTGTGATTTCGTCTTCAGACGTCTTTTCTTCAGCAACCGGTAAAAGACAAGTTTCCTCAAGCATATCTTCGACAGGAACTTCGTAAACAGTAGTGACAGGTGGCTTCCCATCTTCTTCGACAGTGACAATTTCAGTAACTTGTTGTTTTTTGCCTTTTTTGTGCGTCACTTTCTTCTCTGTTATTTTTACGTCTTTGCCTTCAGGCGTTGTTTCTTGCACCACAGTCACCTGTTCCTTTACCTCCTCACTTTCTGCAGGTTTCTCGTCCTCTGTTACAGGAAGGAGACCACTTAATTTATTTAACACAACTTCATCTGGTACTTCATGAACAGTCGTAACAGGAGATTTTTCTTCTTCTTCATCGGTGACAATTTCGGTCACTTGCTGCTTCTTGCCCCTTTTTTTTGTAAGTGTATTCTTTGTAATTTTAACGTCCTTGCCATCTGGCGTTAAGGTTTTTGATACAGTAACCTGTTCCGTGATTATATCGTCAGACGTCTTTTCTTCAGCAACCGGTAAAAGACAAGTCTCCTCAAGCACATCTTCGACAGGAACTTCGTAAACTGTAGTGACAGGTGGCTTCCCATCTTCTTCGAGAGTAACAATTTCAGTAACTTGTTGTTTTTTGCCTTTTTTGTGCGTCACTTTCTTCTCTGTCATTTTCACATCTTTGCCTTCAGGCTTTGTGTCTTGCACCACAGTCACTTGTTCCTTTACCCTTTCACTTTCTGCAGGTGTCTCGTTCTCTGTTAGAGGAAGGAGACCAGTTGTTTCGTCCAACACACTTTCATTTGTTACTTCGTGAACAGTTGTAACAGAAGATTTTCCTTCTTCTTCAACGGTAACAATTTCGGTCACTTGCTGCTTCTTGCCCCTTTTTTTTGTAAGTGTCTTGTTTGTAATTTTAACTTCCTTGCCATCAGGCGTTAAAGTTTCTGATACAGTAACCCGTTCTGTGATTTCGTCTTCAGACGTCTTTTCTTCAGCAACCGGTAAAAGACAAGTTTCCTCAAGCATATCTTCGACAGGAACTTCGTAAACAGTAGTGACAGGTGGCTTCCCATCTTCTTCGACAGTGACAATTTCAGTAACTTGTTGTTTTTTGCCTTTTTTGTGCGTCACTTTCTTCTCTGTTATTTTTACGTCTTTGCCTTCAGGCGTTGTTTCTTGCACCACAGTCACCTGTTCCTTTACCTCCTCACTTTCTGCAGGTTTCTCGTCCTCTGTTACAGGAAGGAGACCACTTAATTTATTTAACACAACTTCATCTGGTACTTCATGAACAGTCGTAACAGGAGATTTTTCTTCTTCTTCATCGGTGACAATTTCGGTCACTTGCTGCTTCTTGCCCCTTTTTTTTGTAAGTGTATTCTTTGTAATTTTAACGTCCTTGCCATCTGGCGTTAAGGTTTTTGATACAGTAACCTGTTCCGTGATTATATCGTCAGACGTCTTTTCTTCAGCAACCGGTAAAAGACAAGTCTCCTCAAGCACATCTTCGACAGGAACTTCGTAAACTGTAGTGACAGGTGGCTTCCCATCTTCTTCGAGAGTAACAATTTCAGTAACTTGTTGTTTTTTGCCTTTTTTGTGCGTCACTTTCTTCTCTGTCATTTTCACATCTTTGCCTTCAGGCTTTGTGTCTTGCACCACAGTCACTTGTTCCTTTACCCTTTCACTTTCTGCAGGTGTCTCGTTCTCTGTTAGAGGAAGGAGACCAGTTGTTTCGTCCAACACACTTTCATTTGTTACTTCGTGAACAGTTGTAACAGGAGATTTTCCTTTCTCTTCAACGGTAATAATTTCGGTCACTTGCTGCTTCTTGCCCCTTTTTTTTGTAAGTGTCTTGTTTGTAATTTTAACTTCCTTGCCATCAGGCGTTAAAGTTTCTGATACAGTAACCCGTTCTGTGATTTCGTCTTCAGACGTCTTTTCTTCAGCAACCGGTAAAAGACAAGTTTCCTTAAGCATATCTTCGACAGGAACTTCGTAAACTGTAGTGACAGGTGGCTTCCCATCTTCTTCGACAGTAACAATTTTAGTTACTTGTTGTTTTTTGCCTTTTTTGTGCGTCACTTTTTTCTTTGTTATTTTTACGTCTTTGCCTTCAGGCGTTGTTTCTTGCACCACTGTCACTTGTTCTTTTACCTCCTCACTTTCTGCAGGTGTCTCGTACTTTGTTACAGGAAGGAGACCAGTTGTTTCGTCCAACACACTTTCATTTGTTACTTCGTGAACAGTTGTAACAGAAGATTTTCCTTCTTCTTCAACGGTAACAATTTCGGTCACTTGCTGCTTCTTGCCCCTTTTTTTTGTAAGTGTCTTGTTTGTAATTTTAACTTCCTTGCCATCAGGCGTTAAAGTTTCTGATACAGTAACCCGTTCTGTGATTTCGTCTTCAGACGTCTTTTCTTCAGCAACCGGTAAAAGACAAGTTTTCTCAAGCATATCTTCGACAGGAACTTCGTAAACTGTAGTGACAGGTGGCTTCTTATCTTCTTCGACAGTGACAATTTCAGTAACTTGTTGTTTTTTGCCCTTTCTGTGCGTCACTTTCTTCTTTGATATTTTCACGTCTTTGCCTTCAGGCGTTGTTTCATGGACCACTGTCACTTGTTCCTTTACCTCCTCACTTTCTGTAGGTGTCTTGTACTCTGTTACAGGAAGGAGACCAGTTGTTTCGTCCAACACATTTTCATTTGGTACTTCGTGAACAGTTGTAATAGAAGATCTTCCTTCTTCTTCGACAGTGACTATTTCAGTAACTTGTTGCTTTTTGCCGTTTTTGTGCGTCACTTTCCTCTTTGATATTTTCACGTCTTTGCCTTCAGGCGTTGTTTCATGGACCTCTGTCACTTGTTCTTTTACCTCCTCACTTTCTGCAGGTGTCTTGTACTCTGTTACAAGAAGGAGACCATTTGTTTCGTCCAACACATTCTCATTCGATACTTCGTGAACAGTTGTAACAGGAGATTTTCCTTCTTCTTCGACTGTGACAATTTCAGTCACTTGCTGCTTCTTGCCCCTTCGTCTCGAAAGCGTCTTCTTTGTAATTTTGACGTCTTTGCCATCAGGCGTTAAAGTTTTTGATACAGTAACCCGTTTTGTGATTTCGTCTTCAGACGTCCTTTCTTCAGCAACCGGTAAAAGACAAGTTTCCTTAAGCATATCTTCGACAGGAACTTCGTAAACTGTAGTGACAGGTGGCTTCCCATCTTCTTCGACAGTAACAATTTTAGTTACTTGTTGTTTTTTGCCTTTTTTGTGCGTCACTTTTTTCTTTGTTATTTTTACGTCTTTGCCTTCAGGCGTTGTTTCTTGCACCACTGTCACTTGTTCTTTTACCTCCTCACTTTCTGCAGGTGTCTCGTACTTTGTTACAGGAAGGAGACCAGTTGTTTCGTCCAACACACTTTCATTTGTTACTTCGTGAACAGTTGTAACAGGAGATTTTCCTTCTTCTTCAACGGTAACAATTTCGGTCACTTGCTGCTTCTTGCCTCTTTTTTTTGTAAGTGTCTTCTTTGTTATTTTAACGTCCTTGCCATCAGGCGTTAAAGTTTCTGATACAGTAACCTGTTCTGTGATTACGTCTTCAGACGTCTTTTCTTCAGCAACCGGTAATAGACAAGTTGTCTCCTCAAGCGTATCTTTGACAGGAACTTCTTGAACTGTAGTGACAGGTTGCTTTCCTTTTTCTTCGACCGTGACAATCTCTGTTATTTGTTGTTTTTTGCCTTTTTTATGCGTCACCTTCTCCTTTGTTGTTTTCACGTCTTTGCCTTCAGGCGTTTTTTCTTGGACCTCAGTCACTCGTTCCCTTACATCTTTACTTTCTGCAGGTGTCTCGTACTCTGGTACAAGAAGGATACCAGTTGTGTCGTCGAACACAACTTCTTCTGGTACTTTATAAACAGTCGTAACAGGAGATTTTCCTTCTTCTTCGACGGTAACAATTTCGGTCACTTGCTGCTTCTTGCCCCTTTTTTTTGTGAGTGTCTTGTTTGTAATTTTAACGTCCTTGCCATTAGGTGTTAAAGTTTCTGATACAGTAACCCGTTCTGTGATTACGTCTTCAGGCGTCTTTTCTTCAGCAACCGGTAAAAGACAAGTTGTCTCCTCAAGCGTATCTTTGACAGGAACTTCTTGAACTGTAGTGACAGGTTGCTTTCCTTTTCCTTTGACCGTGACAATCTCTGTTACTTGTTGTTTTTTGCCTTTTTTATGCGTCACCTTCTCCTTTGTTGTTTTCACGTCTTTGCCTTCAGGCGTTGTTTCTTGGACCACCGTCACTTGTTCCTTTACCTCCTCACTTTTTGCAGGTGTCTCGTACTCTGTTACAGAAAGGAGACCAGTTGTTTCGTCAAACAAAACTTCTTCTGGTACTTCATGAACAGTCGTAACAGGAGATTTTCCTTCTTCTTCAACTGTAACAATTTTGGTCACTTGCTGCTTCTTGCCTCTTTGTCTCGTGAGTGTCTTTTTTGTAATTTTAACGTCTTTGCAATCTGGCGTTGGAGTTTCTAATACAGTAATCTGTTCTGTTATCACGTCTTCAGTCGGCTCCGTTCCAGCAACCGGTAAAAGACAAGTTGTCTTCTCAAGCATGTCTTGAACAGGAACTTCGTAAACTGTAGTGACAGGTGGCTTTCCTTCTTCTTCGACCGTGACAATCTCTGTTACTTGTTGTTTTTTGCCTTTTTTGTGCGTCACTTTTTTTTTTGTTGTTTTTACGTCTTTGCCTTCAGGCGTTGTTTTATGGACCACTGTCACTTGTTCCTTTATCTCCTTACTTTTTGCAGGTGTCTCGTACTCTGTTACAGGAAGGAGACCAGTTGTTTCGTCTAACACATTTTCATTTCGTACTTCGTGAACAGTTGTAACAGGAGATTCTCCTTCTTCTTCGACTGTGACAATTTCAGTCACTTGCTGCTTCTCGCCCGTTTGTCTCGAAAGCGTCTTCTTTGTAATTGTAACGTCCTTGCCATCAGGCGTTAAAGTTTCTGATACAGTAACCCGTTCTGTGATTACGTCTTTAGACGTCTTTTCTTCAGCAACCGGTAAATGACAAGTTGTCTCCTCAAGCATATTTTTGACAGGAACTTCGTAAACTGTAGTGATAGGTGGCTTCCCGTCTTCTTCGACAGTGACTATTTTAGTAACTTGTTGTTTTTTGCCTTTTTTGTGCGTCACTTTCTTCTTTGTTATTTTCACGTCTTTGCCTTCAGGCGTTGTTTCTTGGACCACAGTCACTTGTTCCTTTACCTCCTCACTTTCTGCAGGTGTCTCGTACTCTGTTACAGGAAGAAGACTGGTTGTTTCGTCAAACCTAACTTCTTCTGGTACTTCGTAAACAGTCGTAACAGGAGATTTTCCTTCTTCTTCGACTGTGACAATTTCAGTCACTTGCTGCTTCTTGCCCCCTTGTCTCGAAAGCGTCTTCTTTGTAATTTTAACGTTCTTGCCATTAGGCGTTAAAGTTTCTGATACAGTAACTCGTTCTGTGATTTCGTCTTCAGACGTCTTTTCTTCAGCAACCGGTAAAAGACAAGTCTCCTCAAGCATATCTTCGACAGGAACTTCGTAAACTGTAGTGACAGGTGGCTTCCCATCTTCTTCGACAGTAACAATTTCAGTAACTTGTT